CTGCTCCTGCCTGTGCAACCACTGTGGGCAGACATCACATACCACGGGATGCAAATCTGACCCCCAAGCCTACCCTGTCTACTTCCTGTGCTCAAAACCACTCTCTGGAATCCCTGAAGGTGATTCCTTAAAGCAGGGTCTGGAAGCTTTACACTGCTTTTAACTCACGGGGTATATCTCTAATTTCATTTCCACCTCTGGCAGTCAGGACTAGCACAAGGCTGATGTATGTGTCAGGAGGTCATCCAAGTGACACAATTACTCACCCAGACTCACCTGGAAAGATGCTCAGAGGTCCTCATGGTACACACAAAATACACCCTTCAGGTTAAGATTCTCACAGACAGCAAAAGGAAGGGGCTTTTGGACCTTCTTGCATAAAAAGTGGCAGAATTTCTACAGTAACAGATCAAAGCTTATTGCTACAACAGAGAGCACTACACATTACACTACTGCTGCAAAAGTTTCTTTCCTTTTGATAACATGCACCAAAAGGATGTGTTCATAAAGAAGCAACACCTACCAAGGGTGTGCTCCCTTCTGCCCTGCAGGCACATAAGGGCTGTTCCTCACCTACTCAGGAGTGCTTTCCCCAAGTGCCTTGGAAGTATTTTTAGAGCACTGATCCTGGCTCATTGAAGTCCTCTGAAATTTTGCTACTGACTCCAGCAGAAGCAAGATCAAAGAAGAAAGCTGCTCCTTCTCTGCACTCCTCCAGTATCAGAGGGATGACCTGCCCATGGCCACTCAGTGAGCTTTTACTTAATCAAAAGCCATCAGAGTAATTGAGGAAGACATTTAGTGCCGGTAGCTCAGGGTGCAGCTGCAGTGTGAGCTGCAGGTTGAGCTCTGGGTGGTGGGAGCTCGAGGCAACAGTGGGTGCCTACTCTTGGCGTAACAAAGGGCACAGAGGACCTCTGTGGAAGCCAGGTGACCAGACACTCAGATGCAGAAGGAGCCAAATACTGAGCTGGAAGAGCTCAGACTTTCACTACATAGACTTTGATCCTTTGTTTGGGGTCCCTCTTTGGGAGGCACCCAGCTCAAGCTGTTGTTATTGCACCATGATTAAATTATTTTAAGGATCCAGATGTCTGAGACTCTCCTATGAGAAACCTAGGGTCCAGCTGGTAAGGAAACCTCATCTTGATTGTGTGAGTGTAGGGAGGTAAGTGGAGTGGCTCACTGGAGCTGCCCACTCTGAAGGGGCTTTGGTCCCAGCTCAGGTAGTACAGGTCCTGGATAGTCACACAGGAAAATTTTCCTAACAGGAGAGCAAGGTCACATCAAAATGGGAATCCACTGAATGTTTTGTAACAGAGCTAAAAATAATGCAGTAGCTGTTTGCATTCATATAGTATATAATAATTAATATACAACCACTAGATACAATTACATATATAATATAAATAATATTAAACACATTTTAATCCAATATTAATAACAAACCAAAGACAATAAGTGAAAGACTATTCTCTGTCCTACTAGAGCTCAAATGTCCTCCTGTAATAGATCCTGAGCACCACGCTTCCTCCTCACCCTTCCCTACACACACTCACAGCAGCATCTGAAATGCAGCTGCCCCTGAGTGCTGCAGGGTTTGATTAATCTGTAGCAAACCTGGCTGGATTTCAGAGTGCAGCACACACAGTTACAGTCTAGTTTGAGGCACGCAAGCAGATGACCATACTTGGAGAACTGCAGACAGGAAACTTGCCAGATTGTTTATACCTGAGTCATGACTAATGCTGACAATGAAAACTGAGTCAATTCAGAGACCACGACTGTGCTCAGCACCTATGTGATGCTCTACCCTAATGCCACTACCAGCAAAATAGGGATTAAGCACACATTACCTGTGCAGATATCACAGTTGTAGTGTGTGAAACTACTGGTGATGCAAAGCACGTGACAGTCACTGCCATTGCATTTCTGGATTAGGAGACAGCAGCACATTCTGCAATACACAAGCAGACTCACAGGCCCAAATGCTCCTGGCTTTCAACATATCAACCTCCTGATTTCCAACAGACATCCCCATGAGAGAGCAGTCACTGAGAAGACAACACTACCAAAAACTACTGATGGCAGCAAAAGATAAAGGAAAGGACTGGAACAGCTGGAGATGGGAAGCTCTAGGAAAGTTCACTACAATTTTTGTCACTTCCAATCTCTTTCAATTCACCTGACTCTATTCCATCCCTTGATGTTCTTGCTTATCAGGGACACATGAAAGTAGCAATAGTTGGGACCAGCTAAAGTTGGCTTTGCTTCCACTTAAGTGTAGGGAGTGTTTAGGCAAGGGGAGGAGACCGCATGCTTTTGTAACATGGGGATTTGGGGAAGATCACTGACTTGCATGGATCCTAAACAACCACAAAAAAAGAAAGGCCCTTGGGCTTAATTATGGGGAGTCTCTGTTACTGCAGTATCTCTGAGCACTGTCAGCTTGGATCCACCCTTATACTGAGGGGTGAGGGAGTCCGATCTGCCAGAGTGCATGTCATGCCTCTCCAGACAACAAGTGAGTCCCAGATTACTGTAAACTGAAGATCTATATCGCACATTTCACTGATATGGGGAGGCTGAGTACTTGAGGCTGAGCTGAGGACCTGGCAGGTAAACTCTTTCACATCAGTCTGTGTTTGCAGTGGAGCTTTTACTTCCTCTTGTAAATCACATTTCAGCTTTTCCAGTACAACTCCAATGCACATCTACCCAAACAAAAATACAGGCACCCATCCTCTTCTTTCCCCCTGCCACTCCCTCGAAGAACCCAATTTTCCTCCTTGGGTTCAGCTTTCCAGAGCAGATCTGACTACCCAGACCTGCCACTTATCACAGCACTCAGGAGCAATAGTCATCAGGGATTTCCCCAAATCGCTCACTGCTGGGTCTGCTCCACCACACAGACTCATGGCACAGCCATCCCTCCCCAATAGCCCACTGTACACCTCTGGGCCATCTCTGCTCAGGGATGGCAGAGCTCCCAACCTTCCCTGCTCTCCCACCTGCTATACTGTCAGCATTCTGGCTATCAGCCACTCTCTCTCACTCATAACATGGGGGCATCTCTCTCAGACTCCAGCATGTAGCCCAAGCAGGATTGTTACTCTGCAGCACTTTTCTCTGTATCCTTTCCAAAATTTGGCCATGTAATGAAAATTCCAGGTAGAAGTGTTATTTCTCTGCCTGCTCACTAGAATTCCCATTTCAGTTACTTAATACACCATCTTCTGATATCCAAAAGCATCGATGCTCAGACCTCCCTACCCCTGCCACTCACCATCACCAAACTCTTCCCACCTCCTCCCAAGGAATGGCTCCACAAGCTCCCTTTGGTCAGAGTACTTGGCTCAAACCTCTCAGCCCCCTTACCCCTCTGGGGTAGCCCGATTGTGTTTGCTAAAGTAGCAGCACTCATTTCCTCCACTCAATGGCAATGCCAGCTTCATCCATCTGCTTATCAGCTTCCCCTACAACAGTCACTGCCTGTCCCTCCACGATGCCCCTCTATTATGGCAGGACCTCCTGCCATGCAGCTACTGCCTTGCAAGCCTCACGGAGATCCACATTTGCTGTGAAACCAGTCAAATATTTTTGCAGTATGTTTCAGATCGTTGTTGGTAGAAAATAGAAAGGATTCCTTCCCAGACCTCTCAGGAACCAGCAGTTGACACAAGTGGCTGCAACCATGTGCTGCTCTGTGGCTGTCACTATCCACCCAGAGACCCCCTGCTTCCATCACTTCCAACACATCCTGGGATCGCCTTTGGACTCCTTGAGGTTGATGTCAGCTAGCAGAGAGGTTTAAAAAGACATCAAAAAAATTAGCAATAAGTACAGGATGCAACTCAGAAGGATGCTTTAAAGAACTGCCTAACACAGCCATACTGTTTGCTGTATTACCACAGCAATAATATTATCACCGTCACTTTGGTCATAACAACACATCTTCAGTGTAAATAGGACGGAAAGCCTGAGTTCTCTTCTTGGCTTGCTAGAAGGATTTAGGCAAATCTTTTGCACCTTAGTTTACATGCCTGTGGACAGGATTTGCACCTCCTTCTGAGCTGTTTAATCCTCCATGCCCAGCTGCAAGAAATGTGTGGCAGAGATTAGCTGTGCTGCTTTGGACTGGGGACCTGACACTGTGTGACCAGAGCAGTGCAACAAGTGAGGACATCCTCCAGCCTGGACACTGTTATGGACCTACAGAAATTGTACAGAAGATCTTAAGTGGCAGTTCTCTTGTCCAGTTTTTCCCCATTTGAGTTTATGGCTCAGAGTTACATGGGGAGAGACAAACAACTCTTGAGTGTTACACCTGTGACCTGCCTCAAACATCTGTCCTAAAGCAGGGCAAAACATCTCTGCAGATAGTGCAGTATGTCAACTGATGCTGGAAGTGATCAGACAGCTACTACAAAACAATTGCTTAGCATATAGGCAGTTGGGGTGAAACACATCCTAATCTGTCTCTCCAGGTTTACTTTCACTTGTTTATAAGATGGGATAACAGCACTATCCCAACCTCTATGAGAGCAAGAGGATGAGCTCACCAACCTCAAGGACCTGGTGAGACACCAGGGTGATAACATGATGGAGGTACATATAGTCTCTGCAGCCTTCCCCTTCCCTCAGGAAATAAAGGCATTACCGTCCAAATGAGGTTTCAGTATAATATTAAGGAATGCAATGTGAATAGCAACAAAGTGGGCAATACTGAAGTTAATCACAGAAAATAGGAGCTGGAAGGGTGACATGAGAGCGACACATTTATTTCATTATTATATCACAGACAACATTAAGTATCCACTGAGTACCTCAAGGCAGAATTCTTGCATAAAAAGCATCCCCATTTATCAAGCATGATAGAACCTGCAACTGTTCTATAAATAAACAGTATTTACAATATTTATTTTTCTCTGGAGACTGAGTTCTCTGTTCATTTGTCTCTACTGCAGAATCCTTTGGTATCAGGGAGCAGAGGAGCTCACCTAAAAAAAGACTAGGATTTCATCCAGAGCCTGATCTGGACACAGCACCGGCCTCCTCCACAAGCTGGCAAGGAAAAAGCATCCAACCTGACAGAGAGGAAACATGAAACAAGTAAAATGGGAATGATCTCATCTGCGAGGCAAAGGTAGAAGGAATACCAGTGACAAAGCAACAATTAATAAACACCATCATATCGCTTCATCCTTAGAGAGTTGCCTTGGCACTGTACACTGAAAGAATTGACAACCTTCAATTGTGAAGAGTAACTGCAGATTTGCACTGCATTTGCTTTGTGTCTTGGAAACAAGAACACGTTTCTCACAACCAATAAATTAATGATTTTTATTTTTTTTTAATTTTTTGAAGCTGACAGATTGGAGTGGGGGACATATGACACCGACCCAACCAAAAGAGGTGACTCTGAAATACACTTCATTGCTAACCCTTTGTAGTAGTAATTGTAATGGTTCTTACTCCAGCCTGCCAAAAGCTGTTTTAATTAAATATTAAAAAGCTATTTGTTAAAATAACATTGCCATAGCAACTAGAGAAAGCTAAAATACCCTGGCGCTTCTGACTCACAGCATATTAATCAACCAGCAGCTATTATATAATGAGCACCCCCTTGGAAGCGCCAGCAGGAGCCACAGCACTGAATGCTGGAATCTAGAGCCCCCAGGCTGGTCAGTGCTCCCTGCCACACTCTGCTCTGTGTGCTTGCTGCCTGCTCCCGGCTCAGGCAGGGCTGGGTGGTTGTCCGGGCTCATCCCACAAATCACATGCCCAAATATTTTGGGGAAGCCACGCTGGAGCACTCTGGGTCAGTACGTTCCCATAGGGGCACAGAGGCAGATGGCACTGGGCAAGGGGAATTTTGGTGAGAGCATCATGGATGGTGGTTCCCCACATGCCCGCAGCAGCAAGGGGTTTAGGTGGCTCCTGCCCAGCAAGCCCTGACCACCTGCCTGTCTTGCAAATGCAGCACTTGTACCAGATCTATTTCTGTAAATTTTTTTTTTAATTATTGGAATTACTTCTTGCAGCAAGCACCTTCCTACCATCAGGCCAACTGTGCAAAACTCCAAAGGAGTGGAGATTAAACCCTGCAAGGGCAAACAAGCTCTGCTGCTCACCCAGAATAGCTTGTTTTACAGATTTAAAAACCCAAAAGAGAACAAAGAACCACAAACAACCACTCCCACATCGCATCTAAACCCTCCAGAAGATGAAAAAGCCTTTCTACACTCTGTCCATGCTCCACAAGAATGGCAACCTCATCCATAAAGCAGTCAAAGCTGGTTGACCTGTGGCTCCTGCTGGCACTCACTGCCAGTCCTTGGGAGGCTTTGCCCTGGGGACATACCTCATATTAAGAGGCAGTGGAATATCTCCTATTGCCTTTCCATGCTGGACCATCACCACGTGGTCTGCAACGATGGGAGCAGCTGCAGGAGAGTTCGGTAGTTGAGGTCCAGAGCAATGTTGGCTTAGGGAAAGAGTACTGGGAGACAGAAGTGCAGCTGTGTTGCTCAGATGGAGTTGGGAATCACCTTCCTCCCCCTAAATGACTCAATTTTTTGCTTTAAGTCCCCTTCCTCTTTTTTTCCAATGGAAAATAAATACCTAACCACGTAGTTATTAACCAAAAGGAACGTGATTAATATTACAGCATTTGTATGCCAGCTTCACTTTCCTGCTGCTTTGTTTGGGTGTCACAGGCTGTGACTATGACAACCACAAGCAGTTATTGGACTGATGTCATTTGTGACATCATACTTCATGGAAAAGAAAAGGAGGAAGAGACACTATCAAAAATAAGAACGGAACAAAACCTGCTTTTGCCTCTTCAGGCACCATCAGCTCCTGTCTACAGAGCCAGATCCCAAAGGACCACCACACTGGGGCTGCAGGAGAGCCAGGCAGCAGCAACCCTGTTTGTACCAAAACCTGGGCAGCACTCAGCTCTTGGTAAAACCTGCCCTCTTTCCCCCCCCTCAGCTGAGATATGAACTGCAAATCTGCAGTTACATGGAAGAAATCTCCTCATCCCTTCTCAGCTGGGAACTGCAATGGAGGCTTTTGGCTAAGCCTCATCTCTCCTGACTAAGTTTCTCCTGCTCTCCAACCAACTTCTCCTCCACATCTCTATTCTTCAGTTGTAACAGTATTCCTCCCCCCTTTTAAAAATAAAACACAGTCTGTCCAACATTTCCAGACAGTCAGCTGACTGAACATGGGGAGAATGTGCATGGATTTTGTGGGGAGTGCACTGTTTGGAGTGGTGGCTTTTATGGAGTGGTGGCTTTTATGGTGTCAAGTGCAAGTGATGGTTTCAGTATTCGAGGGTTGCTGCAGCTGCTGCCCAATCCCTTGCCCCACATAAGAGCAAGGAGGCAGTGCCACTGCTGCATTTTGTAAAGCTGTTTCTGTGCGTAGCACTGGCACTCCTAGGATGCACTGCTGTCATTTTCTTTGCAGAAAATGTTTGCAAATTCACTGCTCAAGCTCCAAATTATAAAAATAACCCCAAACCCATCTAAATCTTATCTGATAAAGAATAATTCACTGCAACAAGTGCGTCCTTTACAGTTATACATCCAAAAGCCTTGACATAAATGAGTTAATTTTTCCAAGTTAGTTTTCCCCAAATTTTCCCAACACATAAAAGCGCTTCTCTGTCCTCCCTGCTCTCCTGCCAGACCTGCTATGCCTCTGCAGTCCAACGCTGCAGCCTGCCCTGGGCATTCCCTGATCTGCAGCTACCTCACCAACTTGTCCTCACACAGAGACCTGGGGTCAGAGAGCCACCACACCACCATGGTACAGCTGAGGATGCTTCTCCTTGAGCACATACAACCTGAAGGGAACCCTCCCCTGCATCCTCCCAGGGCTTGATCCTCCACCAACAGATGGCTCTGCCTTGGACTGCTCTGAGAACAAAACTTCATCAGGGGAATCCTGCCCACAAAAAAAGTGGGCATTGCTCTTAAATAGCAAAACAGAGATGCTGCCTTACAAAGGGAAGGTGAATTAAAGCCTAACAGATGAAGCAACCACCACTCACAGTTTGCTCATCAGTGTTCCAAGCGCACCAGAAGTGGCAGGAGCTTCCCAAACCAACACCATCTCTGACTGCTCATAATACATGTCAGCTCTTGGTTTAGGTCCCCTCTGAACGGGTGTCAGTCAAGGCCATCCTAAGCCACTGTTGCATCCCAGACTGCCATCCGTTGCAGGGGACAGCACCTCTGGGAGCAGCTGCTGGCAAGCTCCACCTTTGGGTACCAGCAGGCAAACAGAAAAAAGGAGATGGCAAAGAAGCCTCCTTTTCTTTCTCTCCTTCCATCAAATCTCTCACTGAACACCTGATCCTGAAATATTGTGCAGGGCAATACTGCAAGAAGATGCAGAGAGCAGATGTAGAGGAACTGAATTCTTCCAGCTCTGGTTTCTCCTTGAGCTTCTGAGCAAGAAGCCAGCATCACCCTGCTGCAGCCATCTCATGCTCCCCAGTTCCTCACACAGGCTTCTGTCGTGCAGCCAGGGTGGGAGAAGACAGGTAAATGAAACTTAGAAGTCTCCTTTCATTCCTGAGCTGCAACTACATCTTGCTGCAATAATTTCAGAGCCATCTGAGACCATACATACCTGGGCAGCATCCAAGCAGGCTGCTCTTGTTTTCTCTCTCATCCTCTTAACACAACTACAATATGTCAGAGGCACGTGGACTACATGCCTCCCTCAACATTGCTGCTTTGCTTTGACTTAAAAACACAGACAACATTTACCTGGGACCAGCAGCCCTCCTTTGAAGGGCAGGAGCAGATTCCCACATTTATTCTCTTTGTGGAAGCAACCACCACAGGGGTGCATTAGGGATGTAGATTTAGATTCATTAGGACCACAGAAATGCTTCCCAAATTTCAACACTGCCTACCTAACAGAAAAACAAAATTTTATTTTTGAGATGAGCAAAGAGCACTTCTCATGAGTGGATATACTTTGAGAGACACAATACGTACACATGGCATCTTTCTGCTGAACTTTCTTCGCTTTAATCAGTATTTACTCTTCCCATCACTCTGAAGCCAACACATCTGTTAATAACAGGCCAGAGCCCATCCTGTGCAATGTTTTGTAAGCGACTGACAAAAAATAAACCCCACAGCTCAATTAGCAGGCCTTATGTGACAGTCACTAAGGAGTTAGGAGAAAACATACATGATTCAAAGGAAGAATATAAACCATGGACCACTTTACTGAGGGATGATCAATACAAAACACTGTCATCACTTCACATCCCTTTTCTCCCAGCAACTGCACTGACTGCCAGGATCCTTCACAAAAGACTGAAAGTAGGATTCTTTTTTCTTTTTTTTTTGCTTACTAATTCCTGAATGCTTGTTAAGTGTTTATTAAGAAATTTGTACCACATCTTTACCAAACATGGATTGACTTAGTTTCTCTCCTGTTAACAAAACACAGCCCTTTCTTTTTTCAGGCTGATTTCAATTTGGGGTTTTATTCTGTTCTAACCCAAATAGATTTTGTTGTTGTAACAGAAGACAGGCTGTAAGCCACTGAAATAAAAATGGAAACAAAACTCCACTGATTTCCAAGTAACCATGAATTTCCATCACCATAGAACAGGGTAAAAATGGGATGGGAGTTAATCTGATTTTAAAAACTTCAAAAATACCCCTTATTCAACCCCTCTACTAAGAAATTTACTTACAAGAAAAGCAATTACTTACAGAAAGCAATGAAGCCCCGAACAATAGCATCCAAACCCTCAGTCCAAATTTCTGCCCTGTTATTCAGCCTCACATCAGATGAGAGAAGCTGCCCCAGGAGCCCATACTGCACCAGGCAGACAATCAGAACTCCAACCAAGGTTTCCTGAGTAGGGTCTAATGTAGCCCTGTCTGGTCCACCTGCAGAACTGCAAATAAGCCACAGCTGATGCAAAATCACAGCTCAAACCCTTTAGCAATGCACAGAAAAAGGTCATAGTGCAGATGCTTCTTAAATTTTCCCCTTTTTTTGGGGGGAGGGGTTTATATATATGTAAAAGCTCCTGGCCAAGCTGCTTTAGAACAAGTGTGCAGGTATCTCCTGTGGTATAAAACTTCCTTTGAAGCTATTTTATCACATCAGGAAAGAGCCAAATATTGGATAGTTTTCCATTTTGATGACAGGGCTGGGGTGTTGTGCACACAAAAACAACCTCACAGCCAATCTGTGCTCTTCTTTACTTTCAAAACACACAAGCACCCTCAAATCTTCACCAAGACTGTGTCTTTCAATGGCTTAGAAACAACAAACAAGGTTCAGATGGTGCTAATGGTCCATTCTGCTGACCATATTCTCAGTTAAATGCATTCATGTGGTTCATATCGGCAGTGAGATAATTATTCAGCCTATGTGGTAATACAATGCTGACTTTATTTTGTGGGTTGCAAAGAGGTGCCAAAGGCACTCAACTGGTTCCAAAAGACTGGATTTGCTTGCTGTAAACATTTCTTGAAGTGTCTTTAAAAGAAAAAAAAATTAAAATATTCTCCTTCTGTTTGGGCAAGCTTGAATTTCCCACGTAAAGAAAAACAGGAAAAAAAAAGCTACTCACTCACAGCACTGGATTTCTTACATCCTGGGTATCTCAGTTCTTAATACTTCTTTGAAGGTAAGCAGTACTTCTGACACCTACAAAAGAGGGAAAAGCCATGTAAGTCAAGGAGAAAAGTAAAAGAGGAGAAAATAGCAGCTATCCCTTCCACTGTATGACTGTCGATTTAGCTTTTTCACCAGTAACCAGGAATGTTGACAGGAATTCCAGCAATTCTCTTTTCCACTAACCACCACTGACAAGCAGAATTTCAAAGACTTGGTCCTCCAGCCCTTTTACAGTAACATGATGAACCTTGGGGCCCTCTTGGGGAAAAAAAACATCCACATTTCTTAGGCCAAGCAGACAGTGGAGAGCACTCACACGCTGATGTCCTAAGATACCACTGCTGCGGTTTGCACTGGAAATACCCACAAAACATCTGCTGCAGCTGACACGTACCAGAACAAACTCTTTGGCTATTGGGAACTTAACAAAATGCCATCAAAACTGTCCTTCTCCTCCTTAAAGGGACTCACCTGCTCTGTCCCAAAGCTAAAGTTGTCTTTCCTCATTTTTACTTTTTTTTTCCTCCTAAAAGAACAGGAGAGGAAGGTTTAGCTTCAGCAGCTGCAAGAGCAGAACTGACAGAAAAAATTCCCCTTTGGCAGTGGCTGTATACACACCTGAAAAACACTGTGCCTGAGGGTCTGCAAGAACTGGTAAAGAGATAACAAAATGGTCATGGGACTGTTCTGAGCACAAGAGACACAAGCAGCAAACCACTCTGCTAGCCCCCCAAGAAAAGAGGCAGAAACTTATTGATTGCTTCAGCAGCACTGTGAGCACAACTTGCATTTTCAGTTCAAGCTTTTCAAACTCAGTATTTGAGTTTGAAGCTCCAGACTCTGTTATCTGGCTAGAGGAAGGTCAGCTGCCAAACTCGAAAGAAATCCCTTGGAGTCTTTTGCTCCTTCCCAGCAGGTTAGGTTGGTATTTTTCTGGGTCTTTTCAAAGGAAGATAT